GCTGACCCATGGTTACTTACTCATTCTGTATGCATCTGGATTCTTTACTTCTAAATGGTCCATTACGTACCTTCATTCTGGAGTTGGCTTGCCCTTTTTTAATAAGTGTCTTTGGGTACCTATATGTCTGACTGGCTTTACCTAGCACTCTACTCTCCAAATGATACTCTGGTCAGGTACCTTAAAATCAGTGTGTGGGAACTTCTGTGCTAGAAGCTTTAGAGCTGTGAACAGCTGCCTACAGCTTTATGGGCAGGCCAGTGAGAGCCAGAGGGACACAGGCAGACAGGCTGATGAACCAATACAATTAACTGAAAGAGAATGAAAGCTGCATACAGCGCTGTTCGTTCTCATTTTACAGTGTCATTTGATTTTGTGCTAATATGGAAAATGTCATTTAAGAGAGATTTAATTTGCTACTTAAAGACATTTTCCTTATATTTTTTATCACATTATTTTAATTGCTAATTTCATTTTTGGTCTCACAACTGATTATTTAATAACGTTAAGAGCTAATCACATCTTGTTTGACTTTTTCTGGCTTAATAGCAAAATCAGCGAGATCCACAGCGAAGGCTGATTTTAAAAAAAAGATCCTTTCCAGGAAAGAAATCTAGAATATACTTAACCTATTACATGGTATTGCCATGCAGATGGGTTTCTTGGTTCAGCGGCAGTCTAACAGTAGTACTACAAAAGAGGTTCTTTCTTCATTAACACCCATTCATCCTGAAAGTCAAGTAGCATGAGCTCGAAATTACACAAACCTTTATCCCCTACCCACCATTTGGGAATATAAGATGTTTGGGATGAAACTGAAAAGAAAGGGCTAGGTGCCATGCTAAAGGCATTTTACAGCAGACAAGCCTCTTATAGGCCATCATAGAAGGCACAATGAGAGATTTTGAGAGATTTTCTCACAAAATCACTTGGGCAAGTGGATACAGTACAAATATGAAGTTAGAGTGCCTTAAGATTCCAGAGGCTTATCTGTTCACTGCCCTAGTCCTTACAATTCTAAGATTACAGAAATATAGATCAGTAATCCACTGTCCTGTTTACAATGTAGGAAAAAAGACAACTGGTTTCAGACGAGAAAGATTTTCTCTGTGATCAATTCCATTAATTCCGACTTCATATCGTTGTAAGCCATGTTATACTTGGGCTTGAGGCTGCCAATATGCAAGAAGATGAAACAACCTCCGTTCTCCATCCTACTAGCCCCTGACTGGCTCATATTTTGCATAAAGCTGTTATTATCAAATTTAAATGAGGAAGGCTGCTGCAGAGCAGCAGAACTGTGACCTTCTGAATATATTTGTAGAACGCAAATTTGACTATCCTGTGAGAGATCTGCCTTTGTCTGTCACCTCTCCATCCAGCAGACACTGTATAAACACGTAGTCTGACAGTCTTCACCCCAATCACTTCTGCAATTTCGTTTTCAGTGTAGCTGATGATGCCCATTATGCAGCAGCATCTTCATTCACCACGGATCTTGCTTTAGAAAATGTTTTAATAGTAACACCCTAGATGTTTTCTGGCTGTTTTCTGGGACATCACAAATGAACTGTTATGTGGAGGAGTGCCCTGATTTTAGCTGTAGTGAAACAGGCTTTCGTTTGAACCCAGTATCAAAGATCAGAAAGAAATGAGGCATCAGTGACCATACAGAGGCTTTAAATAAAAATGTAACCATTCACGAAGTGTGAGGCCATTTGTGGCATAATGGTCCCTTTTGAATGTGCTTGCAAATATAGCTTAATTGTAACTTTATCCTACATATGTTTTCTCAGCTTCTTTAGTATTTTATTTGAAATGGGGAAAACTGTAAATTCACTACACAACAAACAGCTTAGCTTTGATGATCTGCTCTTGATCTTACTGTCAGAAAAATAGCTGTTTTCAGGATTATATACACATGACTACATCGCAGATTATTAAACATGTGATAACGTGGAACAAAGCAGTGTGAAAAAGCAGAGTCTCTTTGATTGTGCTTATTGGGTTATATTTTGTTTGGAATGGAGCAGATTGTAGCATGTGTGCTGCTCTTGTCTTTATTAAGGCAATTTTAGGGGTTGTAAGGGTAGCCAGTACTGCCCAATCTAATATATCAGTAGCTGCCTGGGAAGGAGAAATAGTTGGAAAAGAAGAAAATATGCTCATTACACATGTATTTGTTGTGGATCGCAAACAAACATAAGATATCTCTCCCTTGAAGCTGTGTACTTGTATGAGATCATAATTTTAAGGAGGTGCTGCAGATCAGTAACATGTTCCCCTGAAAACATTTATACATATTACCAATAAAATATGCCAACTTGTAGGTCTAAATGATTATTTTGGCTTGTTTGCCTCTGACTTCACTGCAACCAAAGTGCCTTTGTTGGCTAAAACTAATCAAAACCGTGGTCCCTGGAGTCAAGGTGTTGGATTCCACCATCTACTCTATCCACCCTTCTGCATGACCAGTGTGGTAGTGCTTCATTCACGCACTAAAACATCGCCCCTGAAAGGAATCCGGCCAGCTATTTTGCCAGAAGTAAATCAGATAATGCTGGAGAATTTTAGAAGCATTGCTTCTTGGTAGCACTTTATTGTGTTTTTATTGAGATGTCACCATAAAGCAAGTTTAGAGTCCTCTTTGTGCATGCATCATGTTTTAATTATAACAATTCTGTGCATGTATTGATACACAGAGTAACATTGCAAGTTTGAGAAGAAGATCCAAAAATTCTATCCACATTTTTTGATCTCATACCAATAATTTTAAATATCTACTGAATGTACCCTGCTCAGTAAATCCAAGTTCCCTGTGGCTGTGATAGAGCGACGAGCATCTCAGAGCCTATGTGTCTTTTCACCTATTAAGTCATATGCATGCATATGTCTGTCAGGTACTCTGTCGCTGCCTTTAACGCTCAGAGACAGGAATGTAGTTTACAGTTAATATGAACAACTAAATGAAATGACTGATCTGATCAATACAACCTGTTAATGGCAGCTACACTGTAAACAATGCTTAAAATAGTTACTGATTTGAGGATTGGTGTCACATTATTATCCCTTGCAACCAACATCAAATCCTTATTATTTAGTTACAAAGAGGTTTGCCTGCAGTCATATTGTTTTCTTAGTCACGTCATAGTCCTTCCATTTTCACCATCCTAGTAAATAAAAGCTTTTTTTTCACTTAGTAAGGAAACTGTCTGGAAATGTCTTTCTGGTGCCTTATCTTTTTAGACTCCTAAAGCGAAGGAAGCAGCTAATTGTTTTCTGCTTTAACTGTTGCTTTGGATGCTTAGCTAGCATCTAATTTGAAATGAAGCACACATTATTTCAGTGCGACTGGCTTCCACTGGTTTGTCGTGTTACCATTTTTTTATGGCTGAAATATTGAGTCTCTCATTAAAGCCTGGGCCATTACTCAGATGGCTTGAATAGCAAGTCTGACACACGCAGGTGCCTACAGAGTTAACAGTTACAGCTGTTTCATATCTGGGCTTCACAATTTAGGCACTGAGGTATTACAAAAAAGTTCTGAAATGTGCAAATTTGTCAATCACTGTTAATTTCACTGGAATTCAGGACAATACTAAAGTGTTGCTATACAGATAGAATGTAAACGTATATGATACGCAATCTGTGTATTTCACAGCACAGTCACACAGAGTTACATACTCTGGCAAACAAAACAAGCTGATACTGACAATATGTGGCATGGATTGCTGAATAACTGTGTGAACAATAGCAGTGACAGATTCAATCACCCAGCTGTTCACCAGCTATAATCAGACATCTCAGTCCTAAACGTGCCTCGCTTATTTCACTTCATCAAATTAGGCTTGAATACTTTGAAGCTGCGGACGTGCACACAGTGACAAGCATAAATATCAACCCCCACCCCCAACCTCAAAAGTAGAGAGTCAAATCAGCCACTCTAACCTGATTACAGGGACCCAATTAAAAGCTTTGTCTAGCTCATAAAATGTTGACGTGAAGAGCAGAGCCTATCAGCCCATCACTCAGAGATTGTCGGGGGTCTGTGGCTTGGAGAGGTTGTTAGCACTGTTGAGAACAGAGAGGAAGAGTCGTCCCCCCCCCACCCATACCATTGCTGTCTGCCTGCTGAAGCGTTGCAGCCATGATTACGAAGATGCAAATATAACAGGAAATAAAAATTAAAACTGAGCAATCGTTCATTTGACCTGCATAAATAATCAAACAAAGTCACCACCCCCCCCCCCCCCCCACACACACACACACACACACACATATCCCACGCCCACCCTCTCCATCAACACTGCCCGCCATCCATCTGCTGAATGTAACCTGTGGCAAATCAAGCACCTGCATAGGATCCCTCTTTTGCCACTGGAAATGGCCAACAGCAAACTGCTGCCGAGAATGTGTAAGTGTCAGTCTGGATGAGTTTATTGGCATTTGAAGGAACACGAATGCAAATGAGCAGACTAGGAAGCAGCAAGAAAGCAACCTGGCAGAGCACAACACACACTCTATTGCTCAGATTCACACCTTTATTTGGGCTCTAAAGAGCCAGGAAGCCAGGATATATGAGTTGGATTTGGGGTTTTGTTTTTTTATGGATCCATCCAAACTCTCAGAGTATAATGTGTTCAGTGTGCACTACACATTCATATACACACACCATGGGAGATATCTGAGCTTCATATTGAACAGTGAGATGTTATAAGCACACACCATATGTGTGTGTGTTCCCTCAGTACAAACCCAGATTGAACAGAAAAACAGCAAAATGAAATCCATCTGAATGACAAAGCACAAATAACAATTGGAGTTCTCCTAAGAGTAAAATTCTTATTCTTTATATCCCCCGCCACATTTGCATATGATACACAGTTTTATTCTTGACATTAATTTGCTCCCTGGCGATCCTCTGGCCCCACCACTGCACCATAATAAATCTGATCCAATGACTCAGTGCTCAAAGCCCACCATAGAGACAGAGTACTTACCAGGACTGTCATGCAGAGAATTCTAATTCAGGCAGCTCCATGTTGCCAAGGAAATTCAAAATGCCTCCAAAAGCATGGAGACAGGGATGCAGGATTCAAGACAGGCTAGATTCAAATGGGAAAGAGGGATATATGCCGAGATGTGAATCCCTTGTCTGAGGGGCATTTGAGAAAATGCCTCCGTCCTCTCCAGATGCGCTAAATCCGGCAGCACTGATAGGCTGACATGTAAACACACAGGCAGCTCTGCTGGCTCACACACGCTCACATACATGCTGCACCTAGCAGAGACAGAGAGGAAGAGGGAGGGGCAGCTGATGAGAGAGGTGGAAGGAGGAGCTGCAGTGCTCTGGGAGAATGAGAGGCTCAGAGCACAGGCAGCGAGGGGAGTTGAAAAGAAATGGAGAGAAATGTTCTCTGATTGCACTGGCAGCATCTCCTTTTGATTTTTGTTTACCGTACTTTTCCTATTTATGGAACGATCGGAATGATCTGGTTAACTGAATTACAGGGTGGTGCGTGAGAGGCAGAAATTCAGAGTAGTAATGACAGAAGAGGAGGCTGGAGAGGGAGAAGTGTTAATATATATATTTAAAAATATGGATGAAAATAAGGGGGGAAAGGAAGGCTTTGGTTATGAAGGGGAGGAGGGGGAAAATACAGGGACATAGGAGTTCATTTTTAGCAGTATATGCAAATCTCTCCTGTAATGACAGGCAACTTAAGACTTTTGAGGATAGGGATGGATAAGTTTCTGTTTTCAGGATTCCTTGCCAAAGTCGAGGATTATTGCCACCCACAATGCAAAGTGAGGTAATCATCAGACAAACTCACCTTTGCTGTGAGCACTGAGAGTTGGGGGTAAGAAGCAGCGGCTTAACGGTGCTAATGGGTATATGGAGCTGGCACACACATGCTGGCAGTGCCAAGGAGGCTCCACAGTCAGGGAGTGTTTACGGGAGATTAGAAGGCTCAGGATTTAGTGGAGTGGTGGTGGACATGAAGGGCTCCTACTGAATGAACCGTGTGACAAATGCTGTAAGTGTTAGAAAAGGAGACTTATGATTTATTGTATACATTGATTCTGTATGAAAAGGATATAGTTTCCATTCAAATACTTGAATTTTCTGTTCGGGTCAGGCTGGAGCCCATCCTAGCTGTCACTGTACATCCTGAACAGGTCGCAAGTGCTAACACAGAGATTCGCACTCACGTTCACACCTATGGCCGATTTAGAACAACCAGTTAACCCTAACATGTTTTTGGACTGTGGGAAGCAGGCAAATTACCCAAGAGAGCCCACGCACACACAAGGACACCACCCTAGCCAGCCGGTGGATTCAAAACAGAGCCTCAACCTCCCTTTTGCTTTAAATCTGTTAGACAAACAGCAGTACACGGAGCTGTAGACAGCCAACGGTGGTACATCTCGGCCGTACAATAAAGCATACGGAAGGGAGAGAGAATTATTTAGACAGTTGGAAAAGGCGACGCACTCCGCACCAATACAACATAAAATAAATTTATGGCTCATTTTGCCAACTAGCAGCTAATCTAAAAGAAATGACTTATGTCCCACATAAGAAATAAAACCAAATGAAAGGTGGTGCTGAAGAAATTTGGATGACATCTGGGATAAGAGCCACCAGACATGGAGGGAGGGTGAATGAATTTCATTTTTTTTTTATAGTTTGATCAGTGTGACATCCACTATGGCCACTTAAAAAAAGATTGGACAGCTGATTGATGACATCTGCATTTCTATTCAATGCTGCTATGAATTCTTGTCTCCTAGCAGAAGAACTGTGTTGCTCACAGTCTATAATTAGTGAGAGACAGTAGTGTTCCTGAGACAATAAAATAATTGTGTGTGTGTGTGTGTGTATATATATATACATATTAGGGCTGGGCGATATGACCCAAAATTCATATCTCGATATTTTTTAGCTGGATGGCGATATAAGATATATATCTCGATTTTTTTTTTTTTAAGCCATAAGTTAAGAACAAAAAGAGAGTTCTTAGTCACACTGTGTCCCAGATGTCACACGGGCACTTTTATTTACATACAGCGTAGATGTACATGAAGAAATTACTCAAAAATAAATTATCAGCATTTATTAAATAATCATGGTCCATAAATAAAAGAAAACAATGTTGTTTTTGTGCATAACAAAAAGCTCACAATTGTGCAGTCAAAATGTAAACTAATAGACGCTGAGCATAATAACAAAGAGACAGATTTCACAGCTGCACCACGTCTCTGAACAGGTGCCATTTGTGGTCCTTATACACACACAGTACGGTATAGTTGAAGCACAGTACGTATCACTCCGCGAGGCTCCTCCCCGGTAGCCGTAATCCTCCGACAATCCATCAAGCGGTGCAGCTCCGTAGCTTAGCAAAGTCATATTAAAACATTTTTTGACAGATTGCTGAGCGCTGTGTACCACATAAAATCGGTTCGCGGTCAGTAAGCACAACCAGAATTCATACATAAGGCGCACTGTCGAGTTTTGAGAAAATGAAAGGATTTTAGGCCGTGCAGCCCCTTCGGGCTGCATGTCGTTAGCGCGGTTAGCTCGCTAACACGTTGACGCCGTCCAGCCCCACGCACGGGGCGATCCGCGGTAACTCGCTAACGGAGATTTTCCGCTTTCATCTTGTCATTGCCTGCAGGTGAAGCTATGGGGGAGGGGGAGTTGTGTTCAGTGAAGGAGAGGCGAGGCCGAGTAACGTTGCGTAGAGACAAAAGTGGACGAAAGAGAGGCAAACCTGCGGCTCCACAAGTATAATTATAACGTAACATAGACTATATCGATATAAACGATATTGTCACATCTTATATCTCGTATGAAAATATATCGATATTTTTAAAAAACTCGATATATCGCCCAGCCCTAATATATTTATGTTTATAAACTATATATAATATTATATATATATATATATATATATATACACACACAGAGAGAGATGTGTGTGTGATTAGAGGATTCTGCTACACAAATTAATATCTGTATAAATGCAATATCCTTCTAAAGGGGTGCAGGACACAAAGTTACTGTATAAGCTACTTGGCTGTAGTACTGTCTGTTGGCAGCACATTAATTTCATAGGAAAAAATGTTGCCATTGCTTTCCTTTAGCTTGCAGTTGCATTAGTGTCTGTCTGTGGTGTTGCCTGGCAGACTGGCCGGTTCCCTAAGGAGGGTAGGGATAAACCAGTGGCCATTTGCTTAAACCCCACCCTTAATACTGCTACATCTTTCAAGCTTTACCTTAAGTTACCTTAAGTTAACAGTGATAACTGTGGCAGATTGCACAGTTGAAACTGATATTTTTGCACAGAAAAAAATGGGTTCTTTATTTCAAATGGAGGACAATAACTGTCAGGATGTTTAGTGCCTTGATGGTAGACTTGATTTGCTACAGTCAGCTAGCTGTTTAATTTAATAGGGTCTTTAGCTAACTGAATTTGTTAACCCAGTAAAATTGGGGTGTTGACATGGTTGGATGTCTGTATGCACAATGTTGTGCTAAAAGACTGAGGCCAAAGCTGCAGGTTCCTGGCAAAAAGTCAACATCCATGAACATAACAGCAGCATGGAAGCCTGGATACCTTGTGAACAGTATTCTTTCACTTTCAGTGTTACTAAAGAAACAGCTTTTTCTGCACTATGAGGACCAACCAGTGTTGCCATAGTACACTTTTGTTCTGGTGCTTTTATTTTTGGTAAACCTGAAAAAAGACCACCTTTCAAGCTGTTTCTACAAGAAGCACCGTTTGCTTCAGTATGTGTGTAAGTACAGGTCTGCTATGCCTTTGGTTGCCGATTGGACAGATGCTGTTTTAGGGTAACACTTCAGCGAGCAGTGAGTCCAAAGATTAGCTTTTAAACCGGTGTGATGATCGTGATTTTCTTTCCCACACTGTTTTGCGATTTTCACTTTTGTAATGAGTGTCACTGACCTTCTTTTCTTTAGGTGTTCTTCTAGGTGTTAGATGATCTACAGTTCACATTTTGGCCAAAATACCAACAGTAGTGCAGGACTCTGTCTCTGAGGGCTTGTTGCAAAGTGATGAGCTGATGCTTTTTAACCCTGCATATTTAATTCACAAACTGTGTGAATACTGCGTAGAAACACAAAACCGCTGTGCTGTAAGCTTGTAAACACATGCGCCAAGGCTTTGTGGGCTCTGGGGTTTATGCATGAGCATGTTAAATAGTTGACTTTACCATAAAAGCTACAGTGGCAATAAGAAAATGATATAATGTGTTTTTGCAAATAAGGGAATCACTGAATAAAACTATGAAATCTGTGCTTTCATGCTACTATATTTGCATAAACATGCTCTTAGAGAGACTATTGTCAGTTTGTTAATAAAATACTTATGAGAGACATTATTCTTGAGTTGCATTTAAAACTAGTTCCACACATCTGCAGCAATTTGTTGTCAATTTGTTTGTAACACTATGCTACGTGTGAAGACGAGTACTTGTCAGTACATTACACATGCATGATCGGTTGAATGGGTAAATCTACAAAACACGGTGAAAATACAACCTGGAAGGCTCTTTCTACTTCTCATCCAATTACAAGTTAACTGCCTCCTCTTGAGCCATACCACAAAGCCTTAAAAAAATCTGGGATTGTTGTTAATGTTTCATTTAAGAGGAGTAGTTAAGTTTCATTGCATCAACACTTAGGTGGCGGAACATTTTGGGAATCCGGGCTGCTATTTGCATTGATATTAATATCACAAATTCTCTTTTTTTTAGCAGCCATAAAAGAGGAATATCTTGTTAACACATTTCAACATGAAGAAGGAGGGGATTTCTTTTTTCTAATTTCATCCTGTAAGAGCTGAAGTAGTTTATAAATTTATAGCAATCACTGGAAATAGGTCAATGTGACATAACTTAGTCTACATTTTTATTACATCTCCAGTCAACGACATAATGCAATAAAAAATAACTGTCGGTTGGTGTTAAAAGTGTTTGAGGGTAGTTTTCTCCAATTAGACTTATTAGTGAGGATTTAATGCCAAATCATGACGACTGTGTGGATGCATTTTTAGACCTACGTAACGAGGTCTCCAAATGCATGCAGCAGTTTGCCCCTAAGTTTCCCTCTGCTGGAAAACTATCACATCCTAACGAGGGACCAAGTTATTCAGAGAGCGTGAGTGGTCAGCTGTGAAGAGACTTCTGCTGCTAGCAATCAGCGCCGCATATGTGGAGGCCTGAACGCCTTAAGAGTCACACTGACTCATTTATGTCATGTTCAGTCATGATGATTAGAAAGCGGTAGGCCATGA